AAAATATGAACAACAGCCAAAATGCTATATAATATGTAGGTTAATAATAATATGTTCTGGCCTTGCAACTCAGCCTGTGAAGAATTGATTACTGGAGATGGCCAAAGGCTGGGGTCAAGAACTCCATCTTCGGACACGTTTGTATAGCACGCTGCAAGATGAGGGCTTGATTCCCGCTGATACTTTCAGGTCTTCTGCATCTACCACTGTCAGTGGAAAACTAAGATACCCAACTCCCATTAGTGACCTCCTAATACAAGGAGAGGCTGGAGAAGAGAAGGCTCAGGGGGGATCTCGTGAATGTATATAAACACCTATTGGGAGGGGACTAGAGACAACTGAGCCAGATTCTTCCCAGTGGTATCCAGAGAGAGGACAAGAGGCAATGGGTACAAACTGAAATATAAGAAATTCCATTTAAATGCAAGAAAAAAACCTGTAAGTGTTATTGTAGTTTTACCGTAAGAGTAAAGGTTGTGGGAAAGGTTGCCCAGAGAAGTTGTGGAGTCTCTGTCTTTGGAGATATTCAAAACCCAAGCAACCTGCTCTGGGTGACCATGCCTTGAGCAGGGGGGTTGCACCAGATGATGCCCAGAGGTCCCTTCCAAGCACAGCTATTCTGTGACCCTATGTACAGCTAACAATCCCCTTGCCTTGCCAGGCACAACTGCTCTCAGCCGGAGTCTTTGCCTCTTCCCGGGACAAGCAGAGATGAGGGGAGCACTCATCCCTTTCCCTCCAACCAGGATCAACAGCAAAATGGTAAGGACAAACACCAGATCTAAGGGATAAACCTGGCTCGTCCTTCCATCTCAGCTATGTCACCTGTGCCACCCTCTGGGAAACAGAGAGAAGAACCTGGCTCAGACCGAACCACCGCTTCCCATCCTGGCTCATCCTCAAACATCTTCCCTGCTTGCATCAAGCTTAGATATGAAAAGGTCAGATGGCAGAGATAAAGAGAGCACCATTCTATGAAAAGATCGAAGGTAAAATCTTGTCCCAAATGAAGGCAGCAGTAGCTCTGACATACACAATTGAAAAATCCTTCTCAGTTGAACAGTCCTGTCCTATGAGATTGTAGGCATCAGCCCCATACTACCTTCTTCCTGAACTGCCATCTTAAAGCCATTTGGGTTTTCTTCCCTCCCCTAATCTTTTTCAAAGGCTCTCTGCCTTGGTGGTCAGGTTCCTCTTTCAATTTGGCCAAGTTAACACATGGCCAGAGTACAACCACTTGTTCTGGAACCAACGCTGGTTTATAGAGAACGAGGGTTTTCTCTCCCTACTGGTTGCCATCCCAGATGCGTACAGAGCAGACACAGCATCCCTCAGCCTATCCCACCCTGTTCCAGTCTGAATATGGGTGACTCAAGCTGTGCATGTTGCTCCAAAGGAGATTCGGGGTGTCCTGCACTGCCACGTTCACGTTTCCCAAGAAATAACCCTCATAAATCCTCAGGTGGCTGCATTTACTGAAACCCCTACAGTTCCTGCAAAAGTCTTTTTGACTTTTTTTTTCATTAATAACTGTCTTAATTACACCCATCCCAGCTAACGTGTGTGCCTTTCTCTGCCGCTGTGCAAGGGCAGCTCATCTGCACACAAAGTCACCATTGTCGACGGACGAGCGTGGGGCTGGAGCCAGGAATTTATGAGGTCTTATCCCCAGCCTGCCAGTGGCCTTCCGTGTGGCCTTGGAAAATAACACTTAACGTCTTTGGTTTTTTAGCTGTAAAATGGGAATAATAATCTTTATTCATCCACCTCAAAGAGGCGATGAGAGGATTTTATGCAGTGCTCAGGATTTAAATGTTTCCAAACAAATTTTATAATAACCAGTCAGGGTTTTTAAATCCATTCTCAGCTCATCTCTTGCCACCTCCTCTGCACTTGGTGATAGTGGTTGCTTTGCTTATTCCCCCGAGTCTTCTAGAGCTAGCTGGATTACAGAGCCCTTACAACCAAAATAGGTCTAAATGGAATAATTTGCCCAAACGTTGAATTATACTCATCTCAAATGTAACCGCAGTTTCCAAAATTTGGAACCAATCTTTCTACTCCTGAAATCAAAAAGGCAGAAGCGAGCCAGCTCATCTTTTTCCCATTTGAAGAAAAATGCACTGCACGTACCCTGTTTACTTATTTGCAGTATCCCAGCACATCAAAAAAGCCTGTGACTTCGGGAGTCAACGTAAAGAAAACACAGAGAAATGCATGGTAGCTTCCAAAGCCACCGCAGATATGGAGCAGCCTTTGCAGGACACATTTTTCTACCCTATTGATGGAATTGATAAATGAGCGGGCAGCAGCCAGGCACGGTCAAAGCCTTCACATCAGCCCCTCTGGTATGTCAGATAGAGTTGTTCATTTGTTTGAAGTACTAAGAGAAAAGTGGGCGAGTGAGGAAAGGGCTGGTAGCTTCAGCACGCCCACCCCAGACACAGCACAGCCACACGCTGCCCTCTCCTCGAACACACCACCCAGCCAGCGTCCAAGCCTGGTGCTCCTCGGCAGGTCTAGACCGCAGTCTAAGTTCAGAGGTGGTAACTTACACAAAGTGCTAATTCAGTAAAGCCAGATTGTGTCAGATCTTTTGAATTTGCCCCTGAAGTAATTCCAACATGTGATCACCACAGAATATGTTTTGTTTTTTCATCTTACCAGGGCAATTAATGCAATTACTGAAATTATTGAAACTCTTGAATGTACAGTTGCCTGTGTTTGAAAATACTAAAAAATAAGTACATTTCAAGGAATGGAGCACCTCCAAGCAAGAATCACTGAAAAGCTGGTTGCTATGCAACTCCAGTATTGTCCATATTATTCTTATCAACAGATGACATATTGTATATAATAATATAATCCTCTTTAAAAAAAACCACAATACAGTAGAAGGCTGTTCAGGGGTGGAGAATTGGCAATAGCTCAGAGTGCTGTCATAAACCTGACGTTGATGGTACATACTTCATCAATTACAGAACCATAATGTAATTATTATGATTATTTAAGTGGCACCCTTGATAATATATATAAATTGCCTACAGTGAAGCAAACGAATCTGAAGATACCAGCTACATGCTTTCAAAATAAATGCTTACTCAAACAAGACTGGGATAATATTTTCACATTGTGAAGCCAACCAGGCTGCTTCATTCATGCACTGCCTTAACTTGTACATGCGCCCTTCCTTTTATTATGTACTTTGAATATATATTCCTAAAAATTGTTAGTGCTGGTGTGTTTTAGTGGGATAGTAGAATATTGAAGGCTTTGTTCTAATTCCTCAGAACAGGTTCAGAAAGTAAGAACTATATACCTTTCCTCTCTGCTTTTCCACTGCTAAATAATCCCAACCCTCCGAAGAGAAACCTCCTCACCTTCTACTCCCTGGTACTAGACCTCTGATCAGGAGCTTTAAAAATATGAACATAAAAAACTTTATTTTTATACAGCCAGGGCATGCAGGCACCCGCACCGTCAGGTGGAGGAGCTCTGAAATGATACCTTTTACATTAATTTTACTTGTTTCAGAAAGCCATGAATTGCCTTTCATGTAAATAAGAATCAGATACAGAAATGCAAGAAAAATTATCTTCATGGTTATTTAGGGCAAGCTTGTGATACTAGAATTATTCCATTTTATGCCCTGCTGAAACCAGCAGGATAACTCAGGAACTAAAACATCGCCCGCTGCAGATTACGGATCTAGAATCCAGAAGCAGGCTATCCACAAGCAGATTACACAGTGCTACCTGCAACGGCTATTTTTGTGATGTGGCCAAAGACCAAGAAGTGAAGGTTTCTGTGCTCCGCCCCACTCTCCTCTTTAAAGATTAACATGAAATCGATAACTTTCAAATTATCAATGGACAACGCTTTATTCATCACAAGAAAATAAAGATCCCTAAGGTGAAAAGAGGTCTACCGTAGCTATAGTCTGCCATCAGAAAAATAGCAGAAATTATCAGAGTTCAGACTACTGGTGCAGATCTATAGAGCTGAAGATGGACTCGCATAACAATTATGAAATACTTATGAAATAAGGACAGCAAATAAGTGACTAGCCCACGTGCTAATTCTGCTGGCTCCTACCACTACTGCAATATCAGAATTTTTTGAGAATTATTAGTCAATCTGCGATCCCTCAAATTGCTGTCATTACAGAAATCACAAGGATATTTCATTTATTTTGTAATTTAATGTTAACTACACACATCATGAACTTTCGATCACAAAATGGCAAATGTGACATTTTTACATTTAATTTTAGGACATGCCTAATGCCCTGTTCCTATTTCCATGGAATTTGATGTTGATTTGCCAAAAATAGGACAC